TTGCCGTCGATGTTAATATCGTTGTAGAATGGTGATATCTCCGTTGTGAAATTTTTAGAGAGCCCAAGAAGAAACTTTAAGGGCGCGTGTGGCGCAGTGGTTGGTGGCGCCCTGCAACACACGTGGAATCGACCCCCGCGCCCACCATGCCTGCCATACGTCCGGGTCGGCAAACTAGTGCCAGACTTGCCTGGGAGGATAGCAGCATTGGCTCGATACATCGGTACGCCACCGTGAGTCATTGTAAGATAAAATAAGAGCCAGATATGCATTCAACCATCTCTAAACAATGCTCAGTAAAGTCGCATGAATGGCGCATCCCTCAGGGACTGACCAACGCGCGGGGCTTTGCGCTTTTCTATCCTTTATAAGGAATCTTTATATACTGAATATTGGGTCTTGTTATCGTGTGGATGTGGTCCATCGTACTAAATCCTTTTCGAAACCCTGCTTGCTCACACGGCTGTCCTTCACCTAGTGATCTGTCAATCCTGTTTAGGATGACTTTACTGAGATTTTGTAGACGACAGACAGTAAGCAGATTGGGCGACAGTTGTCGATATCGTGTAGTTCACCCTTTTTGAACAATAACAAGGTTTTGGTGGTCTTCCAATGGCTAGGGACCTTGCATTCAGACAGATAACGTGTGAAGAGCCGAGCCAGTGTGTTTACGAGGACTGGTGGAAGGTTCTTCAGGTATTCTGATCTTATTCTGTCCGTACCTGGTGCTGTTCCACTCCTAACCGACGAAAAAGCACAACGGATTTCAGAAGGGAGAACCAGTCGTACGATATATTCGTCCTCCTTTATTTCATATGAAGGCAAGAGGACATGGCAACTGAAGAGATCTGAGCAGCAATCGTGAGTGATTTTCTCCATTACCTTTCTAGACGATGTAACTGCCCCGTCTGGGCGACAGAGTGCAATCATCCTAGTCTCGCAATTGAAGTTTCGATGGGTTTTGTGAATGCTCTTCCCAGCTTCTGCAGCTTCGGCCATAACTGCTGCTCTTCTGTCTTTAAGATCTTCTTTTATTGCACGTCTGCGTTGTTTTGGAAATTCGGAGCTGACGACGAGTTCAACTTCGGCCTTCATAGCGTTCTTTTCAAGAAACACAATGAAGAACTTAACGGTGTGGAGGATAACGAGCGATCTCTCATGTTCTCTGTCGAGGAGTCTGAAGAAAGCTAATTGAAGAAAGAAGGTGAGGGTTGAGGGTGACGGTATGATCGTGTAGCACTCTAATGCCCCACAACTACAGGATCATCGATGACATTCAACTAGGTAAAAATAAACAATTTTTGATTATACGAACACAGGTGTATATTTCTGTGAGTAACATATGTTTAACATTCGGGAGCTGATTATAATCAAGACCTCGGTTATTTTCCTTTTCCTCGGTTATTCTTTAGACAGCAAGACCCTAACGACGAAGTCGATATAAAATTTCGTATATTTTCGAGCGAAACACTCAGAGTCCTTAAGCACTATCGCGCGAAAAGGTTTAGTTCGAACCTTACAGCTGCGCAAAAAACTGTTATGCGACAGGTTCGAGAGCTAATAAAATCAAAAACTATTAGGCTATCAGTTAGTGATAAGGGTAGAGAGTTTGTAGTAATTCCTCGCCACTTATATGTCGATACAACGGAAAAACATCTTGAAAATGCATCTCTTTATTGCGCATCTACTGAAAAGGAATTCAAAAGTCAAAATCGAAAACTGAACAACGAATGGGTCAAAATGGCAAGCGCAGCAGGTTTAAAACCAGCAGACATTCCGCATCTTAAGATCGAAGTGCCGACATGTCCCGTCTTATACTTACTTATAAAGACCCATAAGTTAATGTCCGCTGATGATCTGGCGTCTACCGACACTTCCACCTTTAAAGTTAGACCCATCATCAGTTGTGTAGACGGGGCTACGGATAGAATTGCTTGGTCTATAAATCTTATCCTCAACCAGTTCCTTAAACACATACCAACCCATCTCACGAACACCCAAATGTTTCTAGACCGTCTGCGCAACGCACGTTCCAAAAGCGCGTACGTTATGGAGTTGTTCGACGTTACCGCCCTTTACACTAACGTGTCGAACAACTCCGCAATGTAAGCCATCCGGGAGCTTCAGCAACACGAAGGAGCAATTAACATGTATGGCTTTTCGATTCAGCAGCTTATGGTCCTCCTAAAGGTCTGCTAAAACTGCTCGATCTTCAGATGGTCCGGGAAAATTTACGCACAAATTAGAGGGTTGGCAATGGGACAACGACTGGTACCAACCCTTGACGTTGCCTTTATGTCTAAAGTGGAAGCACCGATAATCGATCGCAGGCCGTTATTCTACTGTAGGTATATGTAGGATTGTTTTGTCATCTGCTCCACACAAGAGGAGATGGACAAATGCTTTGACTTATTGAACGAACAGTCAGAGTGCATAAAATTCAGCCGTGAGAAACCGAAAGAAAACTGGCTTCCATTTCTAAACGTTCAAATCAACCTATCCGAAAACGGCTACAATACAAAATGGTATCGAAAGCCAAGCAGTAAGAATATAGTGGTTCATTACCTCTCCTCTCATCCCTCACACACTAAAAGGGCGCTTATAAGAAATATGTTTCGAACTGCTGCCAACGTGTGCACAGGTAGAGAGCAGAGGGAAGAATCCTCGAAACTGGCGCGCCAAATAGCCATTTCAAATGGTTACGAAACTGTAGCTTCTCGGCATAGGCATAGAGGAAAACCCACGCCCCAGAGCGATAATTCTAGCGAAACCAAGGCTCCGTTCCTCTTGACCTTTATTTCAAACGAAATAAGTGCAGCTATAAAACGTTGCTTAATAAGGGCCGGTCAAGAGAATCCCGTAAGAGTGATAGAAATACCACCGGACACTCTACGACGCCAGCTAGTTCGCAAGCGCCTATATGACCGTCTGTGTATAACGAAAAACTGCATAATTTGCCCTAACGGTATAGACGTGACTACATGAGTTCGGACACAGTCTATCTGATCTCTTGTAAAGCGTGCGGGGACGAGTACGTTGGTGAAACGAGTAGACCGCTCTGCGTCCGCATAAAAGAACACCTAGTCGGTAAACCTAAATTAGAACCAAACACTCCAGTAGGCGTGCATGGGATGCAGGAACACAACGGAGAAGATTTTGAAGTTGGAGTCACTATCCTCACGCACGAATCAAAAACATCAGCGCGTAAAACTCTTAAAGCGTTTTGGATCAATTCCAAAAATTCAAAAATGAACCGTAAGGAGGAGTGTCTTGTAATCACGCGTGACCTAGCGCCATACCTCAGGCTAATCCAATGACCTGACACAGACACAGTTATCGCCCATGCACTACTCTGTGGGGCTGCTATCCATCAACTAACTTAGATACTTACAACAAATAAACAGTAGGTGTTTAAATGAAGCTGTTTCTTATGCGAATACAAATTTATTTGTTAAGTTTTATCTGCTGAGGTTATGAAAGTGTTTGGCTGGGTAGATCGCATCTCAACTTGACCTTTCCAGGCTCTGAAGAAGGCGAAACCACCGAAACGTCAGCTATTGTATCCTAATGAATTCTATAATAACAACCTCGTGTCTGCTTATTGAAGAAAAAAAATGATATTATACTCCACATGAACTCCCAAGATATGAATCAACGGTAAAAACCTTACTAACTTGTCTATAAGTTTCCGAAAGTGAGGATTTGAGTCAACAACTGTTAACGATGACGCAATTGGAGCGACGAGAAGGAACAAGAACGATCCTTCTCCGAGTACTATAACTCTACGTCCTTCGCAGATCTAAAATGTCATGGTGGTGATAAGAATGTAAAGGTAAAATCAGTGAACTATCCTAATGATTAACATTTATAGCCAGAAGCCTGATCTAGCGCTGCCGCTGCTTAGAACGCGTCATAATTATTGGGGTCTGTTATGAACTGCAGGCAATTCAAGCCGGTCACTCTGCTCGCCTGCCCAACATATTACCAAGCGCTTTTACGGCACTATTCGCTCTTTAGACTGCTTTTTCCAGATGATTTGTTGGTTTGCTTTTTTTTTCCATGTCCTAAGTATCTAAACTCTATTTCCTTTATTTCTAAAACATTGACAACATTTGTGTACGACAAAAAAAGAGTTGTCCACTGTCCAACTACGACGCTGTCAACTATTGGTCCGTTTCACACTATATCACACGCTAAGTATACTTAGGTATTTTCATATACTTTTACATTCAACCATATTTCAACATCATGAAGTTGGAAAGCCTCCCCACATTTATGAAATATACACTGTGTGGCAGCATAGTGATGAACTTGCACTCTGCATGTGTTTAGGAATATTTTAGTGGCCTCCTCACCAGCAAAAGTTTCTGTGGTAAGAAATAATTCTGCTTTTTCCTAGAAACATCATCGCGGCCAAGCGAACAAACTCATGCTAAAGCGACTTTGTAGATTATTAGGCGTAGAGGACATTTTTGTCGGAGAGCTACGGACCAGATGTGAAAAGTCTGGCAAGAATCCCTATACAGAAAAATAAATAGTTGCAAGGAATCTGAGTGGGAACCAATTCATAACGGCCACTGCTCCCTCCTTACGTGTAAATGGAAATCAACTCAAGTCGGGCTGTAAATGTTAAAGAGTGTAATAAACAAAACGACTTACCAACTTTACTTCATGACGAAATACAGCATTATCTAACAGTTCATTTGCAGAAAATATTGACTGTCTAGACACTATTGTGTGTAACTGACAAGTGCAGTACACTCTATCGAAAGGTCTGAAATATCCCAAAGACAGATAGACTACACCGACATAAAAAAAATACGAATTCGTGAATAGGCTCCGTAAGAAACTGAACGAGTTTTCTTAGCCCATGATTACTTCAGATATTTTGAAGACCCTTGATATTTCGACTTTCATGGTTAAAATCTGTCGATCCAGAAATTCCCAAAAACCCTTCTATCTCGTCGTGATCCCTAGCAACAGTAGCTGTAAACTCCAACTCACTCTTCTCCAACGAAAAACCACATGCTGAATTCGTCATGACAGCATTTAAGACAGACCGTAGCTCCTTTTTTCACCTGTGCTCGCTTCGGAGGGTAGTAAACTGCTTGCATCCAATGGTCGCGCCACTCAAAAACTAATATAATAGATTTGTTATAAGATCTACTATATAACATAAGCATTTTTGACGTCCTCCAAGCATTACACCGCAGTGTTATAACAAAGGCAGCATAGTTTCAGTTCTGTGCCACCCGAATTCGTGGAGGACACGCTAATCACGTACGAAATCTCAAAGGCTGAAAATTCGCCACCGATGTCTAAATCAGTGAGTCTATGTGACACCCATTTAACTCATGATATGTAGAGGGTTTTATGTGGAGCTTAAAATTCGTTTAAATGTAAAAAGCGATTGGGTGGTATTCAGACAGTGCAGTGCACTAACGTGATAGTTATTGTTTGCCCACTTCGGAGTCATATCGATCCAAGACGTTCCTTTTCCATCCATATCTAGATCCCACCTGAAGGCCAACATAAAAGGAAACGACCATAGTAGCTCCCTACTCAGTTACCACTCACCACATCATGATAGCATCAACTTGGCCAGATTCTATGCAAACAGCAGTCCTATCGAATGATTCGTCGTAGATAATTGAATCAGAACATTCGAAGTTAAATCTAAAGTAAACCTCTTCTATCTACTTAACGTTTCCCAGTTCTCCTATATTGTTCCAGTTTACCAATGAAGATAAAAACCAGCTTTAGTGATTGCAAACCTATGTGATTCAAGAATAAGTCAAATACTTATAAATGGTTCAATTGCATAACGGAAATATTAGGAATGGTGGAAATTCTCTCACGAAAATGCTAGTATAGGCTCTGTTAAACGAATAAATTGATGTGAATGCAGTTGGGACAACTGGACGTCGAAAACCGCTGAAGATCCTGGACAATCTCCCAGTGGAGAGTCTCCTAAAAATTAGCTCAGTTGGCAACGTGGTAGTAAAAATGGCAAAATGCAGATAAAACCTTCAAAAAGCCGTGGGACTTGGTTGAACTTGGAGAGGAATGTACTTTCTACAGGTAGTATCCAGACACGCCCTCGAGAAGGAACAACACGACATCCAGACTAGAAAATTTAATTTAGAATTAGTGAGCACTTACAATAAAAGCAATTGTGCCTGCAGAATCTGTGAAAAGGGCTCTAAAAGGGCATATTCTTTCGTGGTCCTCGATGTTATTTCAAAATACAAGTAGAAAGAATTCTGATACATCGTGCATAAGAAGTGGTAGACTATGTACGTCTCAAAAACCTGGAATAATTTTAGATACGCTCAGTCTGAGTATAGGCTAGAGCATAAAACCAAACTGGTATAATGTTAACTCTTTATTTACTGCCTATTACAACATTTCACGGCAGGGTATTATGTGTGATACAACCACACGGTGCCGAGATATTTGCAAAACTCCTAACCGCAAGTGTCTGCGGTGGGAAACGAACGCGCTGTTATCTTTTCCGGGATTAACGCGTTCACCATCACACCATGCGTGTCGTTCGTTTTGCCTTCCTCTCACCTAGTTTGCTATTTACTAGTGTCATCACCAATTACCCTCCAACGAGATTTATCTGTGGAGCCCAAATCGGTAATGAACCCAGCTTGGTAGGCAAAACACTAACTGAGAGAAAGGCAAAACGAAGGACACGCATGGTGATGGTGAACGGGTTAGTTCCCGGAAAAGATAAGAGCGCGTTTGCTCCCCACAGCAGACATCTGCGTACGGAGTTTTGCAAACATCTTAGCACCATTGTGGCTGCATCAAACTGGTATAGACCAAACGGCTGAGACGACGCCGGTATTTAAAATCTTGGCAACACCCGCTGTTCAATCTCTAGAATACATGACAGTACATCGGTTAATCGCGCTAGAAACTAGAAGTAAAGTAAGATATTTCAAGACCAAAACCTTATACGCATTTAGAGCAAGCTCAGCGGCATCTTCATTCCTCTTCAGGTCATAAGTAGCCTCAATTACAACTCATTTAACCTTCATTCAATTTACATACGAACCTGAACATGACTGATCAACGCTTCTTTGAACGTTCTCAGTGCACCTTCGCCAATCAGCTCCGTGTCGAATACCTAAAGCCTATAGTATATTACCACACTCCACCATACATTTCTAGAAAGATCAGGTTCAATTTTAAAACAAAATCTATGGATTAAGAGAAACCAACCTCGGCAACGATTATGTTTGGTTTAGATGACAAGGGAGAAAGTTCTGTGGAACGTGACGGTATGACCTGAATAGACCAAATGAGTAAGGCAGATCAACAAATGGTATTAGTGAACAAAAACCTACGATACAACTATGTGAATGACATCCAAGACAAAGGACAAAGCGCTTAAGTAATAGATAAATTTTTTGTCCTACAATGCCATAATTCTCAACAGTGATGTTTCATCGTCACATACGCATCAACAACCACAATGATATTTACCTATTTATGGAATTTGAATGGAAGTCTTAACGTCTTCGCATTAAGTTACAGCACACGTAACTACCTGCTGAGCTGCCCGGTTCCGTGAGGTTCTGAGATAATTATGCTGAATCATTCGTTTGTAATCGTTACTTGGTCAATCAGCTGACTAATCGCTGTGACCGATATCATCCTGGAACGACCCCACTAGTAAGACAAAAAATATTCAGGAGATTCATAGCACGCGCCGATGGTGCAGACCTAAGAAGCCTCTTTTTTAAGGATTCCAGAGAAAGTTACACTCTACTCCTATTGAAAATGCCAGAAAAGAGAGAAGATGAAACATCTTCGAGCCACAGCCAGAGTCACACACGAACGCGGCGACCACATTGGTGGGTGACGCTCGTAAGACAGCGAAACGAATGGAAAAAGTTCTAAAGCTCGCAAAATATATGAATACAAACCACCAAGGCATCTAAATAATTTCTGCATCACATAAATGAAATTACATTGATTTTGTCTCTCCACTGACTAGACTGCGTAATTGCACGTGCACATTCGGCCATTGGTTGAAATACTTCCACAGCCGTCACCTGAGCCCCTTCTCTTGCAGCCATTAGAGACAGGAGGCCTGTTCCTGTGCCTGAAATACCTTGAAATATTTATGAACGGAATGATAAAAGCATACTTCTTTGTCAACAAGGCGTGAACATAAAGAACTTCAAAAAGTTAAGTACAACAGAATTTATTTTCGAAAGCTTGTGAAGTAGGTTATATGAATACCGCAGTTTTAAAACGACATATCAGAAGTGCTCATCGATCCCACCCCTGTGAAAGATTTCAGGCCAATCGGCCATCGGGCTAAGTCACATTCTCCGATGGATGGAAAATAAATGCTGACGAAAGCAATTATGGGCTTGCCATAACATTCAGATGAACTCGGAACATGGGAGCATTATCCTCTACTGCGCCGAATTCATATTTATGCTGAGATGTAATAATATCTCATTACAGGTACATTAAAGGGCATGTGGCACAGTGGTTGGAGAGATCTGGAACACACGTGGAACCGATCACGACGCCCATGGCACACCAAGCCTTCCATTCCTCTAGGGTCGGCAAATTGGTACCAGACTTGTCTGGGAGGATAGCAGCACTGGTTCGATACATCGGTAGACCACCACGAGTCATTGTGAAGGCCAGATAAGCATTCAGTCAACTCCAAACGATGCTTAATGAAGTCGAATGTATGGCGGATCCCTCAGGGATTGACCAACGCCTACAGCTTTGTCCACTTTTTGCAGTTACACTGCTGTTGGCATCTATAAAGGTTGCAAAAGGATATCAATCTCACCAAAACCCTTCAGTCAATTAACTGGAAAGTAAAAATTGAGAGCTTCCAGGTCATCTCCGAGAAGTAAGCTCTACGACGACTTAGTAAAAGCCCAACAAGTTACTAGTGAGGCACAGGTAGTCCTCATAATATAACTGGGTTAGCAAGTTGTTGATGCTCCTTCGCAAAGAAAAAGTATTGAAACGGTAGAAATAATAGGCCTCTCAGCAAAAAGAATGTTTTCTATGACATAGAGAATCTTCTCTATCCCTACAGACAAATTACAGTTGTAGTTTTCTTACGTCTACTGTATTATGTTGATATCTTGCACCAATGATGTAGACAGTCATTCTTCTACCTCTTAACTCTTTATAATCGCAGTTTTACTTGTCTCATAAAGGATGAAATAAAATCTGTATGCGCTGATCAATCCCTGAGGGATGCGCCATGCATTCGACTTCATTAAGCATCGTTTCAAGTGTCTAAATGACTATCTAGCCATTACAATGACTCGGGGTGGCCTACCTATGCATCGAGCAAGTGCTGATATCCTCCCAGACAAGTCTGGTATCAATTTGCCGACGCCGGAGCGATGAAAGGCTTGGTGACTCTTAGGCGTGGGGATGGATCCCATGCGTGTGTCGCAGTGGCCCCACCAACCACTGCGCTACACTCGCCACGTGTCTGACACAAGGTTTAATTACCAAAGCTCGAATAGTACTTAATGGAGATGAACAACGCACAAATAGCCGAGTGTCACTGGCGAGCAACTGCAACCAGATACAAGCATGTCATGTCATACTTCCTTTGGACGACCAATTCAATCACCAGCAACTTGCAACCCAATCACCCAATGTCGTGAGTTCTCCTAATAACTGCATCGTCTAATGTACACTAACAAGTCGACGGTGAAATCTAAACTCAAGAGTCTCCTTTATAATACATAAAACCTCCAAAATCAACGTCTAAGTATTGTTCTAGAATTGAGTTAACCACCGTTGCAACACAATGAGGCCAATCATTGACCAATGTCTCCTCACAGAGAAAGCGTCAACTTACTACTGAACAGATGAGTACTTCGACAGCAAAACGCTCGCCGTAATCCGCCAGAATGACCTAATATAGTAATCCAAACTCAGCAAAACAATTCGTACTACCACCACCGACTAGTTCCTACACTCGGAAAGATGTGGCGCTCCTCACGCCCTCTAAGAGAACGGAGCACATCTCTCAATACTAGTGCATGACAGGGAGAAATGGAGACGTCGAATGTGATCGCTCATATAATTCAATAATATATCTCCCCTCTAAGTGTCAAATTATTAAGAGAAATCGTATGGCACGGTCTAGTTTCGTCATGGTGGAGTTTTCAAACCACTTTCCCTACATTAGATAATAAGGTAAAGTGGAATTTTAGGCATTTTGGTAAGATGTAGAAACAGCTCGCTAGACACCAACAAACCTATGTCAAAGACATGAGGAACGACGCCCTGCTCCTTCTTCTCTTGTATTACGCTACGAAGTCCTTCGAGAAACATGTCATTGCGATTGTAATCCAGAATCATATCGGCGAATCGACTCCTATAACTGGTCTCAAGACAAGATTATCGATACGATGATAAACAAAAGGCTTGGGAATACTTTTAGAGGACAAGGGAATTCATGAGATTTACAGTCATACGGAAACCTCATATAATAAAAGCGGAAACCAATCAAATTACAATAAAAAGAAGTGGTCCCTCTTACAGGTTCGAAAAGGTTAGATGAAGTAGCTGCGATTGCCTGTCGTTTCTCAACTTTGTGTATAAATGTCCGATTTGCACTACAGCGCCTGAGTTTAGTAACATCGAAACCGAGGTGAAAAAACATTTGTGGTCAAACTATTCACTTGTTCTTCTAGTCAAATCAATGTTTCGACCTTTCAACCACATTATCATAGCCTAGAATGCTTGGAATGACAAAGCATATTGCAACACACCTAGCAATTTCTTGCGCCAAATCGTGGTCTTCCTCAGCCACTTCCCATTCTCGTTCACCCGTCACGTGATTAATTCTTTCCATAAACATCTCCACTAATAAGAAATCTAAACAACACTACTACTCAGTACACTTAGAAAGCAAACATTGAACTGGATGGCAGCTCAATATGTTAAAGGCCTCGTCCCATGCAGAGAAAGAACAACAATAAAATATAAGTTTGATGAACTTGTGGTAACCAAGTTATGCGATAAAAAGTATATACAAATCATCAAAGGTCAGACTTAAACGTGGAGTCAAGCCACTGAGCAACAAATGAACTGCTACAGAGTTTACAACACTAACCTAGTGTCAAGATAATTGTAAGGTGAGCAGCTATACCAGACTAGAAACTAGTTATGACCGGTTATCTTAACGTGCCATATTACTGAGGTCGAGACTAGAAACTTTGTAGACAAGATGTAAAAATTACTGGAATAAAAACGACTGTTACAACAACACAACCATTCTGAAAGACATAAACCCCATCGGATATCAAAACACTACGATAAGAATAAATGAGATCTCAAATGTCTATTTCATTTATATGCGCCTGAAGATCGTCGATGGAAATGGCATCTTTGATGTCTGAACAAGTATTCCAGGTCTTGATTGATTCACAACATTGCTTATGGATCGACCAGTCGAACTTCTGACATTCAACCGAACAGTAACAAAGCTAGAAAAACTGTACGATAGTAATTCCTACGACGGACTTCCTATTAACCTTGACATTAATCCAACAATTCTTCATAGCCTTGTTGAGTAAATACGAGGTGTTACTTTATCCTTTATTATGGAAAAGCTGACGTTTCGGCGAATTTTACCTTCCTCAACTGTCAGCGCAATAAGTAGTAAAGTAACACCACGTATTTGCTGAACCATACTTACTTGGATACTTGGATAGCCCGTCCTCACTGATTGTGGGGGGCCCAGTAAAATTCCCTTTTTCTCAAACTTTTGCTGGTTTAACAACTGCGATTCGCTGGAGTCCGGAGGTCAGCCTAGCCAAATCCTGCCCCAGGTAGTGACCACCACATGCAGTCGCCTCCTTTGTGGCACAGAGAGAGATTTGCCACCATGCGACTAGTTTGACACCAGAACGGTGGTAGATCCTGGTATTGTTTCACTCTTAGCTGGGCTTCTAGATACAAACGCCAGACTTATCAGCTTGGAAGGCTCTGCAAGAGGAGTGAATCACTCCGATGTACATCGCAGCCAGTTACCCAGGAACACCCCCAGCCACGTGGAGGCGAGCCGCTGAGAGGATTTGCTCAACAACAGTATGAAGAATTGGAGAAAAGCATTTAGTCTAAAAAATTCCAAAAACATATACACAAACCTTGCACCTGGAACATCGTTTCTTAGCTGTACATGAACCACATGTCGCGCAAAATTTACTGGCCATTAATAATCGTTGACCAAAGAGTCCTTGCACAATGTAGTCGAAAGCGGTAGGCCTCTCTCCAAAAGGTGTCTTAGACATCGCCTTAATGTCACTATTAAAATATGAATAAAGGATTAAGCTGTAGGAGCTGATCAATCCCTGAGGGATGCGCCATGCGTTTGACTTCATTAAGCATCGTTTGGAGGTGATTGAATGCATTTTTGGCCTATACAATGGCTCGCGGTGGCCTACCGATGTATTGAGGAAGTGTTGCTATCCTCCCAGACAAGCTTGGTACCAACTTTCTGATCCCGGAGGGATGGAGGGCTTGGTGAGCCTTGGGCGCGGCGATCGATGCCATATGTATCGCAGAGCGCATCCGAACACTGCGCAACACGCTCCCTTTTTACCATAAATGTGAAAAAAAAACTGAAAAAGTGGGATAAGAAAGAAGAAGAAATTACCTTGACTAATGTCTCGTAAAGGAGAGAATGATGATATGGAAACGCCGCGACTGCATTTCTCAACAATGTTTCCAAATTTTTCCTTTAAAAATTGAAAGTGTAAAAAACAAAGGTAAAGAAAAAGAAAAAAAAGAACAAGAAAAAAACAGCAACGTCACTTTATTGAACTCCAGGATGAAACCACAGCTATCCTACCTCACTTGTTCTCCAGGTTCCCACTTTAATAAGAACTTCGCATACACAAGACATGCATCATGAGCGCTCTTACCAGATGATACCAAATCGGCAATAAACTTGTAAAGCTCGCGCAACAAGAAAAGAATTATCCATACCTTTAGAGACATGACCTAAAAACAACCAACATTTGCAGTGACTTGGTACTGAAAGAGAGAAAATCAGCCCGAAGAATGTACCTCGTTTCCCTCCTTGCAACGCAACTGCCTCTCAAAAACGCGATCAACCACATAAAGAATCTAAAACAAAGCAGTAGCTTCCCGAAAAACTCGGTACATATCACCGACCACAAATCGAATGTTTTATATGTACTTGACGAGTAGAAGAGAGGTCGTTGTTTCAAAACAGCACTCCGGTTTATTCAGTCTTTTCAAAGCCTAGGAGGGGCGTGTAGTGCAGTGGTTCGAGGTGCCATGCAATACAAGTGGGATCGGTCCCTTCGCCCCAGACCCACCAAGACCTCCATTGCTCTGAGGTCGGCATAGTGGTACCACACTTGTACGGGGGATAGCAGCACCGGGTCGATACATCAGTTGGCCGCCGCGAGTCATTGTAAAGGTCAGATAAGCATTCAATCATCTCCAACGATTCTTAATGAAGTCAAATGCATGGCGCATCCTTCAGGGATTGATCGACACCAAAAGCTCTATCCGTTATCCTTTTCATCCCATTATAAAACAAATGTTGTGCTACTAACCTTGTGTTGCCTACCAAGATCATATCTAGGTTAACGGAAAGTCGACAATGAAAATCCTTACAGTCGAATGCATTTTCAAGGGTTTCATACTTGTTTGAGAGATAAAAACTAAATGTTCATGACTTAACGAACCTTCTTTTGGTACTTCACAGAGCATTCGTATTCACTTAGCTCGAAAGTGATTGCAACAGGGTGGATCTGAAAGAAAATTTAAGGACCTTGAGTATAATTGCGGAAAAAGCAATAAACAATCTCGACCGAAATCATCTAAACCACTTCTTCGAATTACTTTCTGATGGAAGAAACCCATTAAAATTTAGATTTTTTTAAAATTAATCGCTAACAGCTACCTCGAACCACAGAGAGAAAAATTCCAAGTGGTTCCCCTGCAGCGAGGAGTTCATGGTCCGAGGCAGAGATTGTGGAATGGAGAAGGTAAGTGCGGAACTTTTCCGTTACCAACACTTCATATCACGGCGAAAAGTTTTAGTCATCCCGTCTTTGTTCATCATCGCCAACAATGGGACATTTTAATCACGCAGATCCCAATGGAATTCCCTTAGACAGGTTCCTTTTTATAACTGCTTGCAACAATTTCTTCTCCTAATGCCGATGCACCTCATAGAATTACGATTTCGCAGTGCTAGTGATGCCGTTGGTCATAGGTACGGTGGTGGTTCAACTCTGCTCAACCTCCTTCTCTTTCATTCGATGTCGGGAGACTGGTACAAGACTTGTCCGGGAGCAGTTCCCTCAACAAAAGCCCAGTGGGAACACTTTAGCCCTGCTATCTTAGGACTGAAAGGAGAATAAATTCGATCAAAATTCAACGATATCCGTGAAGAAAATGACAATCTATGGGAGCAGCTGAACACGCAAAAAGGTCGAAGATATTCCTGGATGGCGAATGTGAAGATCATACTACACAGAATCATTTCTGCAGTATGTATTTCACAGTCCCAACGAAAATTTTTTCTACCACGGATCTCCCTCATACGACGGATCTCGAGCCGGTTAGTCGCAAGGATATGTGGCGCGTCCCCGGGGTGGCGGATAGGGCTTAATCGCGGACCAAAAGCGACCTTTGTTTCCCTGAGGCGCAGGTGGATCCAGGGGATGGGCTCCCCCTTTCTGCTACACCGATTTCGCCCTACTTTCTGTATTTACGAGGCGTATTCATGCATGCGTCTGTGGGTGTGTTCTTGCTTATGCGGGATGTATTCTACGAGTCAATTCGGTCAATAGCCCACAATCAAGTGACAGGGAACTATATGGAAGGCGGATAGGAGTCATCTTCAACAAATTTCCACTCCAGGAAAGCCTGGCAAGCTACTCGTGAGTACACCCAGCCCCACGTTCAGAGTCCAGCAAGCTATACGTGGGTATTAAAATGCAGAACACAGTTTGAAAAAAACGGGCACCAATCCCCTGAAACCGAAAGAGCCTCAATTTCGCAGTGTTGGGTAGGACGAGTACGGAAAGGCTGCTAAAATCTCAGGGCCAATGGAAACTGCCTGGATTACAAAGAACTCTGGTGACGATCTGTACCTACAATGCACGTACACTTGCATCCGAATCCTCGATAGAAGACTTGCTCATGCAAGCAAGGATAAAGAACGACGTCATCGGCCTGGCCGAGACGAGGCGACGCCACCTATTCAACACCGTCTATGACACCGGAGAAGAACTGTTTCTCGAAATATGCGACGGTATAGGAATCGGCGATGTCGGCGTTCTCGTCAACACGAATTTGTCCATAAACATCGATTCATTCGAACAGCATATAACCCGAATCGGACGTTTACGATTTAAAAGACGTGGATCAATTCCGGCTTTGACAACCTTGGTCGTTTACGCGCCAACATCAAACTATGACGAAGAAGAAGTCGAAGCGTTCTAGATGAACTTGAAGAAGTTCTACAGAGAAGACCACACGTTCGTCAAGGTCATCATTGGAGATTTCAACGCCAAGATTGGACCGAGAAGAATGTATGAAGAACTTCACATTGGAAGGCATAGATTAGAATGGAACGAACAGGGTGAGCGGCTGAGTTTATCATGGCGACCAAGACAATCCATGGTAACTCGCAATTCCAGAAGCCCCACCCTCAACGCTGGACATGGGAGTCTCCCAATGGAGGGTACCATAACGAAATAGACCAGATCATACTAAATAAAAGGTTTTGCCTAACCGATGTCGTTTTTGTCCCAAAATGCTACACGGGATCAGACCAGCGTCTCCTTTGTGCAAGATTCTATGTCTCGCGGAAAGGAGAAAAAGCCGCTAAATTCCAAAACCGAAGTCTCAGAACCACCGCAAACTGAGACTTATTCAATTCATTAGTCGGCCGTTGGGAAGATGCCGTTGTCGATAACATCGACGTAGAATACGATTCGCCCATTCAAAATCTTCACGTTGGCGCTATGAAACCTGAGAGTTCGAAAGTCACCAAGAGACGTTTGTCTCCAGAAACACAAAGAGGACCCGACTCCACGCCCACCTTTTCGACTCAACGGTACTTCCTGCCCTAACGTATGACTCAGAAACCTGGTCGCTGCGTAAGCAGGATGAAAGGTCACTCAGCGTTATCGAACGCGCAGTCGAAAGGACGATGCTAGGAGTATCCCGTTCCACACAAGCAAGGAATGGGATCCGAAGCTCCAATCTGCGTCAACGATCAAAAATCAAAGATGCCGTTCTGTACACCAAACAGTCGAAGATAAGGTAGGCCGGACACGTAATGTGTATGAATGACAACCGATGGACAAGAGCCGTTAGTAACTGAATTCCTCGGGATGTCAAACGTACTGCAGGAAGACCACCGACCCGATGGTCAGAGTTCTTCACAAAGAGCCTTGAAGAAAGATACGATGCTCGACGAGTCCCTAGAGCGCTAGCAGAACCCACTGGGCTACTCTTGCCCGCGACAGGGGAAAATGGAAGATTTACTGGGGCCTACTCGAGTCACTAGACGATCGACGGGACTACAGGAAACAGGTGACAGGCGAATGTGAAGAAATGAATCGTATGCAAGGTTGGCTGGGATCCGCATAAGCTCTATGAAGAAGTGTAGTGTAAAATAAAAAATATGACGCTAATATTATCGCGCTTCACAAAAATGAATACGACAATAGCACACGCAGGTAAATTGAAATCTTAAAAAGTATTACTGCCCCAAACACAGGGCTATGTGAACTGCTGGATGACGAATTTACGTATCTGACGGAGGTTTGTTAAGACACAATCATTGAACATGACGGAGATTTGTTACGAAACAATCATTGAACATATCACCTGATGCCAACTGCAAATCTTGTGGATAAACCGGGAAAGATGCTCCGGATAGACTTCCTCAGTAGTCTCACCCTGTGGAGAAACGAACCTTTCGATTTGATCGATGCTTACATGATTGTTAATGATCGAGACGCATTCGTGTTGACCTAGAGATTTGCGATGAAAGAGAGGAAGAATAACAAAGATTCGGCAAACCGAATACGTACCGACAAAGGCTGCCATTTCACTTGCTGTCTTTCCAATCGAATTCGTAGAATATGAACGCGCTCCATGATCCATCAATAGTTTACATATATCTGGCTTTCCTGAATTCTTGCATGTTCAGTGCTTTATTAAGAATTATAGACAGAATAACGCAACACAAACCAACAAGGGCTGCGAACATGAGAGGAGAATAGCCTTGATTGTGCTGCTTGTCATTTACATCAGCTCCTCTGTCTATACACAATTTCACAAGAGAAGTGTGACCCCTGAAACAGCGCTTTCAATAGTTCTTCAGCACCCAGACATAACCAAGGTTACTTGAAAAGGACAGAAAAAAGTTCTCTAATGGTAAAGAATGGCGGTGCTAAATAAGATGTAGCATGCAATATCTGAAGCACAAGTTAGCTGGAAAGATTTCCATGCTTATAAGCTCAAATTGGAACAATCAAATGAAACGGCAAGGCCCGTAGAGAGAGATATATAGAGAGACAGACACTGTCCTTGCGATGACAAACTCAATATGGAAACAGAAAGAACTCGATTTGCTAGTTGTTTCTTCCATTCCAATTGCAATCGTAAAAATATTTTAAGAAACGAACCTATAGGCGGCGGCACTTAGAGGTGTCATTCCTGTAGCATCATGAGAATTAACGTTCACGCCAAATTCGAGAAGACGTGTAGCGTTTACTATATCACCTGAACGGGAACTGTATAGTTTTAAGTGGAGAGAATAATAGAGCGATCCCACGCACCCACCGTTCTGCTTGAAAAAGAAATAAAGTATGATAGGGTAAAGCTCTATGCGTTGATCAATCCCTGATGGATGCGCCATTCATTCGACTTCACTAAGCATCGTTGACGGTGACTGAATGCTTATCTGGCCCCTACAATCACTCGCGATGGCCTACCGATGTATAGCGGCAGTGCTGCGGTCCTCTCAAACAAGGCCGGGGTACCAATTTGCCGAACCCGGAGGGATAAAAGGCTTGGCAAGCCTAAGGCGCCGAATCAAACCGATGTGTATTGCAGGGCGCCTCCAACAACTACGCTACACAAGTCCCTCAAAAAGAAATAACAAGAAAAGAAAATCCAAAGAGTCACATGCCTGCGTCAATCGCAGCGAACAGAGCTTCTTCTTCCTTCGTCATGTGAATTTCTCTTTCTGCAAAATGAAAGTTAACAACTGCAGCATAGAATCTCCATCATGTCAAAAACATTCTTAAGTTAAGTGTCGAAACAAATAAGTTAAATTTTTGCCTCTGTTCTGAAAATAATGATCTATCTTAAGTCACCAAAATGGAAGACGCCAAAGACTACTAGACCACTACACCTAGTAGTTTCCAGTACCAACTTTCTCTTAACCTGAGGGTTTAAAAGTAACTTTATACGTTCCTCATTAGCAAACACGGGGTTGTTTAAACAATATTTATTCTGCAATGACTAACGCTTCAGGAGGTTTTGCTTTCTTCAGAGGCTGGAAAGATCAGATTGGCACGCAATCAACTCAGCCAAATACATTCTAACCTCAAAGGAAGAAACCCGAAACCTAAACCTCATTCGCAAAGGAAATATTCTCTCTAAACACTCACCGTGACACCAACGGATTGGGTTTTGCCTTTCTCCCGTTGGGGTTACGAAGCTACTTGGCTGGTGAATAGCGTTTCAATTTGAAATTTCCAGGCTCTGAAGAAAGAGAAATGCGTTAAAACTCATCAGGAAAACATAAAATTACCACAAGTAGTAACGGTAAAGAACACTTGACGAGTAGTTTTTGGTTGAAAAAGGAAAGGAGCTCTACTGGGCCTTAGTAATGCTCAATCGGCAGCTTATTCTACGAGGTAGAAAGAAACAAGGCAAGGTTCAGACCTGATGGAATGCTTCACCTTAGTAGCCCAGGCCTATTTCTACCGTCATAGGTCTTCTTAGAATGAGATCAATAACAAAAGAGGCAGATTTTCAATCAGGACTGAGAAACTACTAGTGTTGAACATAACACTAATGTAAAGCACTTAAAACTAAATCCTGAAATTCAATCTGGAAAACGAAATACATAAAAGCCAGAAGCTAACAGTAGCCGGATGGAATCCCAGTGTTGTCATGACAGCCGAGATGACGACGAACGCAGGCGGTGGCGTGCGAAGGCTTCCGCACGCGATCATCCGCAACGACGGAATTTTTGAGCATTCCCGGGCTCGTTGCTATAGTAGCCACCACCGATGAGCAATTCCCGCTCAGTAGCTGGCCTGACATACACCGATCGAAAGTTCATTACTAGTACATTGGTTTTGTAAATCGACTTTCACTCAAACCTCAAATTTTTATTACAGAATAGAGCGTAAACGATAATCCAAGTGTTATAGTGTCATAGAAGATAAACAAAAGACCAAAATAACAACTTAAAAACTAAAGAGCTCTCTGTGTCGATCAATCCCTGAGGGATGCGTCGTGCATTCGACTTCACTAAGCATCCTTGGGGGTGATTAAATGCTTACCTGGCCTTTACAACCACTTGCGGTGGCCTACTAATGTATTGAGCCAGTGCTGCTATCCTCCCAGACAAGTCTGGCACCACTATACCGACCTCGGAGGGATGGAGGGCTTGGTGGGCCTGGAGCGCGGGGACCGATCCCATGTGTATTGCAGGGCGCCTCCGACCACTGCATTACACGCACGGGGCTGAGATAACAGCTTAGCAACCTAATTTGTAATAATCTAAGCAAATCAGTGGGGAAAAAAGTGAATCATTGCTATGGTAACCTGTGCATGTACCAAAAATGATCACCGTTGATTTCAGGAAGGACGAAGAAAAGACTGGCACCTCGTTCGCTATCTAGCGCAGTGGGTAGACATATGGTCGATGACGTACCAAGGCGCTTGTTCGAACTCTCCTTACAGCTCCACCACAACCTTCGTGGCAATCCCTTTGCTTGGTTATCTCCAGGATTGCAAGGAGAATCGACTCAACCAGCATCCTGAGGCATTCATGAAAAAGACGAAATCATTAAGTAGCAACCGAAACAACACGCCACATGATCGATGATCTTTATGGACGATGAAGGCGAAGAAAACGAATTGAATGCGAGAAGTCCTGAGATCGGCACAGTAGATATGATGACGGGCCATGTAAATTAAATGATAAGTGATTACTGAGGGGGTAGGAGTTATTTGTTCAAGATGCACTTCGGTATTTCTGATAAAAGACTATTCCATACGGTAGTCATGACTCATCTCAGCAACTGAGCGTGGAAAACATCGACTCACTAGTCGAAAAATTGGATTTTGTATACCCTAGAAAGTGATCATGACCTTTTTACAACCGCCAATGGTTTTCGCAACTAGAACACTTGTAAAGTTTATAAGTTGACAAGCCAGTAAAGGAGACTTTCTCTCTCATTCTAAATAAAACCAATAACTCTTCTAAAATGTGAGCTGCAGTGCAAGTTTATTTAAAATCAAAATTTTCTTTAAGAACATCCACTTTTAATCGCAGTAAAAGAAAGACATCTGCAATTAAAAAGAAAGGATAAAGCTCTCGGCGTTGATCAATTCCTGAAGAATGCGCCATGCATTCAACTTCATTAAGCAGCGTTTGAAGGTGATTGAATACATATCTGGCCCTTACAATGACTCGCTGTGGCCTATCGATGTATCGAGCCAGTGCTGCTATCCTCCAAAATTAGTCTGGTACCAATTTGCCGACCCCGGAGGGATGGTAGGCTTGGTGAGCCATGGGCTCGGATATCAATTCCACGTGTGTGTCGCAGTGGCCCCTCTAACCACTGCGCCACACGCGACCTACACCTAGTATACATATAGCAAACGTGATCGCTGGTTCCGAGGGGACAAGTTGATGCATGCTGCCAGATTTTCGAGAAAAAGAATTTCATAGAGAACTCTTTATGTCTCTTACAGAACCTTGTCAACATGGTTTTCACAAAGGAAAGTTTTTTATCGTTTTAGGAAATATTTCTGCTCGGCAAAACCTCGATGTGTCGACAGGCGAAAAGCTAAGTGCACATTCCAAATGGATCCTGCTTCACGAGATCGATATCGGTCCCCGTCGGAAAAATTGGTTCGCTCCAAGTTTTATCGAAATTCATCCCGTTCCAATTTTAATCTGTTTCAAATCATAATAAACTTTGTAAATTAAAACAAGAATTAGTAGGATCTTCAACTCTTTGCCGAAAATACAAGTTCATTTGCTTCGGCATAATAAAATTTGAGACTTAAGTGGTTCACGAATCTTCAATAACAATTTTCAATAACTGCTTAATTGTTGAAGAGTTTCAAGTAAGTAGATGACGTTCTTGAAAAAGTGGTAGCCAATCGGTGAAGAAGTCCACCGGTTATGCTGGATGAGATTGAGTTACCCAGAATCATTAAACGTCTACGGTATTGGGTGTACGACCTGCACTACGGCGTTGGTCGTACAACAGAATCGGCCATTCAGTTCTCTTGGAACAATAACTGCCTGGAGATGAAGACGAAGTTCTTGCAGCAATTCGTCGATCTATCGATAGGTTATCGCTCTTATGATTTTATTGGCATCCAAGTTACAGTAGATGATTCCATCTACCGACAAGGAGTTCACAAAATACACTTGTTCTGACGAAAATTTGATATAAGAAGATATTTCGGTGCTTCACCTTCGTCCAACCACCACGTACATTCTTGTGTTGTCGAAGATAATCTATTCTCGGCGATCAACTGGCAAGCACTTTGGTGAACAAGAGAAGTCTAGAACAAAGAACTCGCGTTTTTCATTCGTCGAATTCCTCCTCCAACTTCTTTTTCCTGTCAACCGAGTTTACTTGAGGTTTTATTAAAGTACTCTTGTACTAGCGTAGATCGATTTCACTTAGCCCTCTAGAATGTTCGTCATCGATGGAACTCAGTAGGCCGTACCGCCCCGCCATCATCAGCACTACCAGTTCCATCACGTTAGAAATGGACCCCGGCAGTACTTCACATTAGCTGCACCGGCGACTATGACGACGAAAATTATTCCCAGACATTTCCTGTACTATTATTTTAGGCTCAGAAAGTAGAAGTAAAATTGTACTTAGGAAATAAACGGTAATGAATAAACAAACTAGTAGAATTAACCTAAGCTAAATTATTAGCGGAAGTAAGAGGATTACGGAAATGTTATTCCCACTATCGCTACGATACAGAAGGACGTTGAATAGATCAGGACATAAGCTGAACTTGGCCAGAGCACCGCGCCCGTTTGTTCTTGTCTCATTTGCATTCCATCTATTGGATCTGAAGACTGAAATGCACAAACAGTTCACTTCCAATCTCGTGACTATTCGTTGGCTCTTCGATCAGCTCTATCGATTTGCGTTTTAGATAGTCAACATTTCAGCGATGTCGTCTGCCTAATAGCATCTGTGTATTCTGGCCTATGCGGCACCGTCCTGCCTCATCCCACTAGACCAACGAGCCACCTGCCTGAGTAGATTCTCCTTCAGGAGCTTCTCAACAGCGATCGCATCTTCCGAAGATGGTAACAACAAAAGCCATTCTTGAAACGCAAGATGAAAAATCAGGTTTGTAAATCGTGCAGAATACTTAATGTAATAACGTTTAATTCTTGCTGATGAATGTAAGCAGGGCAAGTATTCTACTCAGAAGGTATTAAGGATGTCAAATTTCCATGTGGATATCTTAAAGTCCTTAAAGCTCTCTTTCTATTTTATCTTAAAATCTCATTCTTAGATCTTGAAACACTTCTATTGTAAGTAGTAAATGTACTGCAGACTATTGAAGATTCAGTACCTTGCGAAGGTACTTTCAAGCTTAATTAGCTGGGTTGTTGTGTTGTAAGCT